TCCACTAGGTTCGTTTAGCTCACCAGGGCCGTGGTCTCCAAATTTGAACATAAATTTACCATCTTTGTCCAAAACCTGGATTCTGTTGTTAGAGCAATCCGTTACAATTATATGTCCTTCGTCATTTATGAAAATTCCTTCGGGTGCCAGAAATTTGCCGTCTCCAGTCCCTTTCTCTCCAAACCTCTTCACAAACTTCCCTGTCAGTACATTGAATTGATTAATTCGACTATTTAATGCATCCACCACGAGAAGCTGGTCATCATTCAGGAATGTCACTCCAGCTGGATTAGCCAGCTGCCAAGGCCATTTTCCATAGCAGCCAAATTTTTGCGCAAAATTTCCATCCTTATCAAACATTAAGATACAGTGTCTTTCATCGTCAACTACAGCGATTGTTCCTTTGCTGTTGACAGCGATCCAATTCGGACTTACGGGAATTCCTCTTTTTAGAACTAACTCGCCCACAACATGAATTCGTCGTTCCTTAACTTGGATCCTGAAAGGACTGCTAACAAGTTTGAAGCCATTTATGATGACGGTCATGTTGTAGGTGCTAGGTATTTTAGGAACAAACTTCACGTGGAAATCATCATTTTCGTTCTCAACAACTTTTAAACTTGCTACATCTTCAGCGGGTTCTATGAGCACTCTAACGTCAAATTCACGCTGGCATTTCCTTGTAAGCTCTTCTTCACTCTTTCGCTTTGGACGGCAAATCACAAGCTCTGCTTCCAGACCAGCTTGGAGGTTTTCAGTAAGAGCCTTCACTGATGACAACCGTACATCTGCTTCATTGGTTATCACTGGCCCCAGGTTTAAGTTGTCAAGAGCATTAGCCGAGAAAAACTTCACGAATGAGCTTACCGGAAGCGAAGGGACTGTGGCCTTGTCGAGATCTCCAAATCGCTGCTCTAAGGTCTTCTTACTTTTCATAACATCTGAACTGGAGCTCCTCTCAACCAGGTTTTTTGCAAACTGAACAGCTTGATCAAGTTGTTTCATCAATGACTTTACTTGCTCGTTAAGAGAGTTTATTTTCTCTATTCTAGACACGCGTGCATTTTCAATAATTTTTGTAGCTTCCCGCTCTTGTTCTCGAATCTTCTCAATCATTCGTTTGGCTGTTTGGGAAACCTCTCGTTTAGCAGCGGTAACATTTCGTTCCAGCTCTTCAACAACTTGTTGAAAAGTTATAATCGCATCGCTACAGACTTTCTTCTTTTGTTCTATCGACTCGACTGCCGCCA